CTGCTGAGCTTTTTTGCCCTACAACCATAACTATCAGCTCTGAGTAGCTGAATTTGTTCCCTGCTGATTAGGAATTGCTCAGTTACTGACCCTGTATGAACTGCCTTGTATATCTTGTGAGGCCAGTTGTTTTACTTTGGCTCACCTGCCTCAGCAACTGCATGAGTCAAGTTTGAGCCAGGCTTAGACTACTTGTCATCACTTCTGTGGAAGTCTCGTTCTCATATTCATGTGTCCATTTGGTAAAATAATGGGGCGGAAGAGCAGACTAGGGAGGGGAATAGTGGAATTCTGTTGTGTAAATGAAATTTTCAGACACCCAGTAGAACCCAGAGAATATTTAAGATAGGGTATCTATGGCATCTATAACATTGTAATGTATCTAACTTGCTGAGCACTGCGTACAATAATTCTCTCTTTCTTTTGCAGCCTGCCAAGCTCGCAGAAGCTTTCAAATACTTTGTTCAGGGAATGGGATACAGTAAGTATTGGTTTTATGAAACAGTTAACCTGGCTACCGAAGTTTGTTGGGCATCTAAGCACCCAGAGAGTCTTCTGATCCCAGATGTGTGATCTTTTCCCTGTTGGATATGCATTTGCAAGGGGAGAAAACACAGCTGTGGTGTCTGGGTGAAGGGTTTTCAGACCAAATTATGCTACTAAATAGTAGAGAGCTTTGTAGGCAGCTTATACCTACAAATACTGCTCAATATTTTTAAGGTGGATATATGTAATAGTGGCCCCTCGTTGCATCACAGGATACGATTCATATGCTGCACACAACATTTAAAACCTCATTAGTTCGGAGGCTTCTTTGATCTGTAGCTGTTTGTCCTTTATGTATGTGCTTCTGACAACTCCTCTTGTGTAGATGCATTGCTATCCTGGGCTGCCAGCAAAGCTTAAATGTCTGAAAGTAATGGGAGGTCTGATGAGTCTTCTTAGTTTTCCTCCGGATTGTTGCAGCCACAGTAACATGCCATAAAGCTCTGTCTTGAATCCCTCAGCCCTGGCCACCAATTTTGCCTTCATAATTTGGGCCCCTTAACAGTAAGCCTGGAGAAGTGGTGGTACTTCTGCACATGAAGCTACCGTGAGAAGTATATATTCAACCTTGAAGGCTTCTCCAAGGATGGTTAAGGCTGGAGAGGGAGGCAAGGGTTTCCTTGCAAGCCCAAGAAGCAAAGCATTAATGAAAGGCTGTTCTTCTAGTCCCCTCTGCTAGCATGACCAGGCTGATGAGGTCCCGCACTGCTTCTGGCTCCAGCGTAACCTCTTTGGAAGGACAGAGGAGCCGGTCTCACACTGGGGAAGGCACAAGGAGCCGGTCTCACACTGGGGAGGGAACGAGGAGCCGATCCCACACCGGGGACGGTGCCAGGAACCGCTCCCACACAGACACACGCATTGAGCTGACGCCGAACTCGGCAAGCAACGCTGAACAATCAAGCCCCAAGTCCATGGAAGTGTCCTGTTAGATGGCTGTGGGAGGTTTAAACTGGTCACAGTGTGAAAAAGTAATGGATGCCCCCTGTGTATTACAAAAACATAACTGGTATTAATCTCAAGCTATTCTGTAGGATGAACTCTGTTCACCAGGGTCTGACAGGGACCAAAGAAAAGAAGCATCTCATTTGCTCTATCGTTATTCTTGTAACTCAGACAGTTGCTGCTATTGTGCCCTCCTTCAGTGGATGCCAAATTCTAAAGGATACTTGCCAAAAGCTGATGTGGTTGTAAACACTTCAGAGTCAAACCAGACTTGCTTAATATCCTCCTTTAAAATCAAAACTGTTACATGCCCCTTTATCTCTTATTTTCTTGAAGTAAACCGGCAAATTTGAGATGAGTTTCAAAGAGGGGGAGAAAAAAATCGCTCTTATGGATGGCTTTTAAAAAAGGAAACAAAACAAATGTATTATGGCCTCATGAAGCTGGAGTTGAATTCATTGTATATAGCTTGACTTCAAATGATAGAGAAGTTAATGTATTGTGCATTTATAGGCCTTCTAATTCATTAGTATTCAAGCCTGTTTTCCTGTGTACAATAATATACTACTAAAATAGGCGATTTTAATGTGACTTTGAGACAAACTAAATCTTTAAGCTTTTTTATTTCACTTTTTTGAGATTTAGTTCCGGTCTTCCTTTCCTTCCCTTACCCCCTCCTAGACCCTAAAACCTGCTTAGCCAAATGAGCACCGGATTTAAATTTAATAAGCAAGGTAGCATTTCCTGTTTGAGATCTTGGGCCAAAGGTTTACCATACCGCAGAAGATGGTGTAGTTGTAACAAGTAGGGTAGCCGTACATGCCAGCAAAGCAGAAACAGCTTGATTTTTCTTTCAGACAGCTTCTTATCTTTGCAGCTCAAGTTTTTGTGTCCAGCACAATTGTGATAAATTTGGAATTTTGTAAGCAAAGCCAGATCCAGCTGTTCTTTGTCAGGAGAGATGAATAAATGCGGGATGGCATGTGATTAGATACTGTACATTCAACTGCCACTAATTACTAGATTTGAAACTCTGATGAGATCTTACTGGTGCTGGGAAGTGTATTCCACAAAGTGGTGGAGCAGCAACACTGTGTCTGTGAAATACAGTGTTTAATGACTGCGTAAATGTAATGATGTGCTGATTCTGCATCTTTACATAGCCTCTGAATACCTTGGGTTACTTTCTTTGATGCTAGTGGCTTGATACCTTCCCGCCAGTCAGATTTTCACAGTTGGGTGTTCTGAAGTTTGTCCTTCCGTAGGTAGTGTAGTGGGACAGGATTTCCTGAGCTCCAGTGCATACTTGCTGCATTGCAGTCCTCACACAAACAAGAAAACAAATGCCGAGCAGTTAAATAGCAAATGTTAATACTTTGGGATTGCTTTTTCAGAAGAACACCATCTAGGTTACTTTATATTGACTAACTTCAGCTCTTGTGTAGAATATCCGTAACGGCATGTGGGAAGAACAGACAATTTCTAGAAAGAATAAAGCTATTGTGTAAAGTCTATCAAGAAAAGTTTCTTAATGAAGTATTTGTATTTATTTCAAAACAAATAAATTTGTAACTTTGCAATGTCTGGTGTCTTAATGTTTTATCAGGAGTACAATAATCTTTCTCAGAGTATATTCTTGTCACCCCTTTGTATCAATGAAATCTCTTTTCTTTTGCAGCTATCTCTGCCATTCTCTACTTTTGTGCTCAGAGCTTTTTTTTTTCCTTCCCCACTCCAGCCTAATATTTATACTGAGAAAACACAACACACTTCAGTATTAAGTGTTACTGGCTGTTCAAAGTACTAAAGGATAATTTTGCTCTAACAAATATATATTAAAAAAATTGAGCCTCGATAGGGAGGAGTGTTTATTTGCTGTTTCAAGTTTTCTTTGTCTCCCTGGATACCTTACTGTCTAGTGCATAGATCTGCAGTTTGTACACTGACATCCTCACTGGAGTTGGTGCCATGCTCATTGCATCCTTTGTGGTCCCAGTCTGATCTGTAAATCTGTGGATATGTGACATGTTCCTCATCAATCTCTGGAGGTATTTGGGGCTCTTGACTGAAATTGCAGATGCCACTTGGAGATTCTAAAAGCTGTTGTTTTTGGACATCCTGCAAGAATCTAACTTAAGTAGAGAAAAGATTAACCCTTCACAAATAAGTTTTAAAAGGATTCCCTAAATACAAGAGGGAGAAGAATCTAAAGGTGCAGGAAGGAATGAAAACATTGTTTTATTTCCATCCTTAAAGCAGAAATAGTTGTCCTTCTTCACCTTAAGCTTCTATTTATCTTAGTGGTTTCCTGTTAAAAGATGGGGCTTTTTGTAACTTCAGCAGTATCTGCCCTCTGTGGGGAAGCATCCCTCCATGGGTTTGGAGGCTCCCTTCCCTATCTTACAAGGGGCTGGGATCACTGATGCTGTGCAGTGTGCGGGGTGGTTAGGAGATAACAGAGCCAGATCACCAAAATGACTCTGCTGTGCTTTCTGCATTGGGACCTTAGTGAGGATGTGGTGCTCTTGCCTAGTGACTTATTTAACATACTGGGATTTTCAGGGACAGGTGGGCTTGTGGCTTTGCTGGAACTATTTTGGGCTGCTCCTTCCTCCTGTATCTCAAAAAATCCTACAATAGGAAGAGACAAAAGCAAATATTTGGTATGTCTGAGCCGAGGCTTTGCTAGATGTGATGATTCAGCAGTCATGATTCGACTGATACCAGCAAAGGGCTTGATTTGGTTAACTACAGCATGTGCCAGTGCCAGTGAAAATGGGAGGAACCGGTGCCAACTCATCTTACAAAAGAAGGGCAAAGTTATGTTCTTTGCTGAGCTTTTCTGGGAATGGCTAATCATTCCTTCTACAAGGATGCCATGGTGTGCCTGTCAAGCCTAGGCAGTTTATTTTTGTTTAACGAGGAGGAATGCATCCAACCCTTCTTGCAGCACAAAGGGATCTGTGAGCACTTCTGAGCAGCGAGGAGTTGCTAGGACCACTATAAATGTCAGCTTTGCAACAAAAAGTATTCATTTGGCAAGGAACAGCGTGTACCTGTAGAGAAAAGCTGGAGAACAGTGCAGAGGAGCAGTGTTTACCTTTTACAAGGAGTTCT